CACAGTCAGAGGGAACTCGGGACACCTGGAGACATGTAGGGATGCAGGGACTGACAGAGACGGGGAAGACGTCTCATCGTGACGAGTAAAGGTTATTGCCTGGCTGGCAGCTCTCTGGGTGCTCGGCACCCCAAAGCTCGGCACCCCAAAGCTCTGATCCTAGGAGCGCCCCTGGTAAGGAAAGCGCTGGCGTCTGTTTTCAGGAACGACTGAGCCTCGGACACCTCGGGCGTGTTAACTTAATGGAAGCTTGTAACAGAGTCGCTGTGCAGCTGTCTACGAGCCGCCACGCTGACTCATAAAAACTGTTTACTGTGCCAACAGTGACGCACATTTGAGTGAGTCACTGTCGGGTGAGTGTGAGAGGGTGGAAGAAGGTCGCAGGTCCACTGGAGAGCACATATTTCTGAGCTAAACATTTACGCGTCGTCCTGAGAGTCTAATTTTCTTTAAAAAGTGTAGACTACGAACAGCATCCTGTCTACGGTCGCACAGCAACAACAAAAAGCCCAAAGCAGGTGGTGAGTGCTGCCAGAGGTTTAACGTGCAATGGTTCAAAGTTCATTTAGCACAATGTGAGGTCTTACGGTGCTGTGACAGCATCTTCAGCTTCCTCATTTCTCAGGGTTTTAGAGATTTGACAGGTTTCCTGTAAAATCACAGAGATATCAGACTTGTGCCCATCATCCTCAGAAACACTGACTGAATTAAGACGTGACCGTCTCCAGCCGGGTGTCAGTTTAGGGCGAGGATGTTGTTGACACAGGGTTGGACAGCTCCTCCTCTGGATACATGAAATCAGCATTTGAACATTTTGGATCCACTCAGGTTCGTCTGAGATCAAAATGTGACGACGAGCTGAACCACGTGTAAGAAACGTGAAGCTAAACAAGAAACCAGGAAAGGAGCGAATGCTTTTACACAGCACATGACACATCCTGAACTCAAGACGGTTTGCAAACACACAAACACAACGCAATGCCTTGGCATGTCCAGTGCTAACAGTGCACCGCGTGTTGAGTAAATGACAGTTGTATTTGCGGGTCTGTAATCAAACACGGCGACACAAACAGGTTTGTGCGTCTTCATGTTTACATTCGTCTCCTGGTTGCACCATCAACCTCAGCGATATGCTGGACAGCTGCCTTTTGTTTGCTAAAGATCAAACAAATATGGACACATTGTAAATCTAACGATCTCTAAAATAACTGCTCATAGATAAATTACTCTTTTCATTCCCGTTCATCTGTGTTCACATATATTTAGTGTCCAGACACGGTTTAGACATCGTATAAATGACTAAGAGCTGAGCTCATGTTATTGACACAGCAGAGCACATTACATAGATACAGCAGCTTTCTTCTGTAACCTGTAAGTTCAGCCAGCACGTCTGTGCGACACTAAACCACGTTAACGCAGAATGAAGTCAGCCTTGGTGTCGTGCTGTGAGCAGGGACACAAACCCCATCACTTTCACACTAAACCCTCCAATTTCACGTGTTGCTTAGTCCGATTCAGACAAGCTCACAATAGACCAGCAAACCAAATAACCCCCATCATCCCCTCATTTGTCACTTCCCCCGTCCCTTTCTTTTTCACTAGAAGGACTGAAAAACAAATGACAGTTTCCACAAAGTCGTTACTGAGGTGATAATTGCAGGTCTTTGTGGCTCAGAGGGGAAGTATCCTTGTGCTTGTGCTGCAATAAGGGACGGG